TGAATTGATCAACCACCTCGAGTTCCTCGTTAGCAAGCGTCAAGGGGTCATCGAGTTGCTGGTGGTCTTGCAGCAACGCTTTGCACTTTGAAGGTGCGAAGTGCATACAAAATAATGGGACCATTCTGGATAAGCTATTTAGGATTGATTGTGCCACCCCAACATTGTCGAAAAGCAAGACGATATCGTCCGCATAATCGAGATCAACTAACCTTTCACCAGGCAGCACTTCAACGCCTACATCGTGAGATTCCGCAAGGTAACACTCCATGATAGAATCCACGACGAAATTGAACAAAAATGGGGAAATCGGACAACCCTGACGAACGTCACTTGTAGTCGGAAAGCTATCCGATAGGCCACTGTAGACCCTGACGCGTCCTGTAGTGTTCGAGTATAGAGCACGAAGGATGTTCACATATTTCGTGGGAACACCTTTTCGCGCAAGTAATTCGAACACAACCGATCGATCGAATGAATCGAACGCACTCTTGAAATCGAGGAACACAGCTATTGTCGGTCTGCGGTATGCGTGGCGCTGCTCTAGCACCTTCCGCAAAGTAAATACATGGTCTATACAGCCACGTCCTAGGTGAAAACCAGCCTGCTCTTCCCTAATCCGAGATTCCCGTTTTGCAGTGAGGCGACGAACGATAATCGAGGCCAGTAATTTTGTCACAACTGGCGTTAGGCTAATACCCCTGTGATTAGAACAGTCTGTGCGACTGCCCTTTTTGTATATTGCCACTATAATCGATTCGCTCCAATTAGCCGGCACACACTCTTCGTTCCAGATACGTTCGAATAGGGAGGTCAGTGCCCTGCAGAGGACCTCACCACCATCCTTAAATAGTGCAGGTGGGAGGAAATCCGGGCCAGCGGCACGAAAACGATTGAGGGCTGTGATCGCGTTTCGGACCTCGGCCTCCGACGGAGGCTCTAAACTAACCGTCCATGGCACGTCCTGCATCACCTGAGTAGGAAGAGGTCCGGGAGCAGGGGGCCAGCTGAACTGATCTAGAAAGCGTTCAGCCCAACGAGCCATACGGCGCTCCTTATTGTGTATCAGCGCACCGGCGCTGTCTCTGATTGTCTCACTGACGCCTGGTTTGCTCGGACCAGTGGTGCGGATTAGCTGGAAGAGCTTCCGGTAATTGCCTACTGCTCCTGCCTCCTCCATTTCTTGAGCCCGACTGGTCCACGAGGCTTCCTTGTCAGCACGTAGGCTCCGCTTTAGTTCACGCCTAATAGCCCCTCTGGTAACATTGTGCTCAGAACCAGCCGGGAGGTGCCTTCTAGCTTCCAAAAGGTTCACGGACCTCTCGGATATCCAGTGACTGGTGCGGTGACGACTGATAGTGCCACAAACACATGCTCCTGCGTCGTGCATAGCGGCCGAGATCCTATTCCACTGAAGTTCAGTGTCATTAGGGCAAGACAGCGAGAGTTCGCTATGCAGTGCTTCTTGATAGGCTTGCCTGACCGAGGGCTGGGACAATTTCTCCGTTGCGAATCGGGGGAGACGCTTTGTGCGCCTTCCGGTAAAGTTCATGGAGAAACGACAGCGCACCAAGGCATGATCAGAGTCGACACAGGTACTCCAGTACGAGCGGCAATCCAGAATGGAACCGCGCCACCTGTAACTTATGCCTATGTAGTCAATTTGGGTCCATCGCTGGCCAGCTACAGGTGGACGCCAAGTGGCACTTCGGCGCCCACTGTGTCTAAAAGCAGTGCTAGTAAGAAACAACTGGTGCTCCACACACAGTTGCAGCAGAAACTCGCCGTTGTCAGTCCGTTCGGAGTTAAGTCCATAATTACCACCCAGGTGAGCTTCTGAAGAGCTCAGACGCCCTACTTGTGCGTTCATATCCCCTGCAATTACTATAATATCTGAACTAGTAGCACTGCGTAGCAGCGTGTTCAGTTCGTGATAGAAAGTGTCCTTGACTGCATTAGAACTGCAGTCGGTGGGAGCATAAGCAGAAATCACAAACAAACAGCGTTTTGTTTTACTTCGCGAATTTACCTTAGCTGATGTCGTCAAACGGGCTGCACATAAACGGCTATTCACCGGAATCCAATCAACCAACGATGACTCAGCCTTGGAGCTGAGAATGATACCTACACAAGCTTGACCCGTGAGTGTCGCATCGGCGTCTCCGGATGCGTGCAACCAATAACGACAGGATAAGCCGGGTGCAGTCAATTCAAGAACCCCGTTAGGGTCATTAATCCTAGTTTCGGACACACAACACACATCAGCACCTAGTGTGTCCAAGGTGCGTGCGAGTGCAGCCTGCTGACTGGTGTCCTTAGAGTGCGGACGTTGAATATCGCCATGGAAACGGGATAGCATGGCCTTATAAGGAACTTTTGCCGATAGGCGTCCGATAGGTGCTGTGGGATGGTGGCTGCAGACGGTACTACTCCAGTAGCACTTCGGTTGCTGTGAAGTAAGCTGGGAATTATAGAAGGAAGGTTAGTAATAGGGGCCGGGATGGGAGTAAGAGAAAAAGGTGGAAAGGAAAGAAGGGAGGCGCCAGCAGTAGCATGCTTTCGCTTATCCGCCCTGCTGTATGCAGCAGATAAGGTGACCCTTGATAATCTGCTCGACGGCCGATGCAGGATGAAGTTTATGTTTGAAGAAAATGTCATGGTTGTATGTGGGCTGAGATACTGCCAGGGCGCCCAGACCTAGACAGGAGGACGATTAGGGTCCTCGTCCAAAGCCTTTGGCTCAAAAGCCTGCCTGCAAGGCAGCGGGGTGGCAGTGATTCAGTTTTACAGAAATGGACGCCATCCCATTTCAAACCCCCAACCTGGAGAACCAGGAGACTGAGTTTGTCTGACCTCACACCATTGACCAACCTGGTAGGAGTAGCTCTCAAGATACTCAGAGGCATCCCCCAGTATAGCTCAATGGGTCAATGAGGTACGCAAACCGTCGCACCACGTTAAGGTCCAGTCTCGTTGCGACGGACCACTCTGGGCAGGCTATTCAGGGTTGATTAGGCCGCCCCAACATCGTCGAAAAGCAAGACGATATCGTCCGCATAATCGAGATCAACTTACCTTTCACCAGGCAGCACTTCAACGCCTACATCGTGAGATTCCGCAAGGTAACACTCCATGATAGAATCCATGACGAAATTGAACAAAAATGGGGAAATCGGACAATCCTGACGAACGCCACTTCTGGTCGAAAAGCTATCCGATAGGACACTGTAAACCCTGACGCGGCCTCTAGTGTTCGAGTATAGAGCACGAAGGATGTTCACATATTTCGTGGAAACACGTTTCCGCGCAAGTGTTTCGAACAGAAGCGATCGATTGTCTGAATCGAACACACACTTGAAATCAAGGAACACAGCTATTTTCGGTCTGCGGTATGCGTGGCGCTGCTCTAGCACCTGCCGCAAAGTGAATACACGGTCTATACAGCAACGTCCTGAGCGGAAACCGGCCTGCTCTTCCGTAATCCGAGCTTCTCGTTCCGCAGTGAGGCGACGAACGAGAATCGAGGCCAGTAACTTTGTCACAACTGGCGTTATGCTAATACCCATGTGATTAGAACAGTCTGTGCGACTGCCCTACTTGTATACTGCCACTATAATCGATTCGCTACAGTTAGCCGGAACACTCTATTCTTTCCAGACACATTCGAATAAGGAGGTCAGTGATTTGTAGAGGACCTCACTTTCATCCTTAAATAGTGCAGGTGGGAGGGAATCCCGGGACAACGGCACGAAAACGAATAGAAGTGCTGTACGATCTACTTTGTACTGACAGGCTATTAGGTCATCCGATCCATGGATGACAGAGGCATTAAAAAGTAACAAGGCTTTGTTAGGTCCCTCAAAACCATTCATGTTTGTATAACTGTACTACTTGTGCACATATCGATGTCATGCGTGCTCATCACCATATTCCTATTCATCCTGACGAGATTTATAAGACAGCTATCACAACAGCATTCGGTTTGTACGAATTTTTACGCATTCCATTTGGTTTACGTAACGTTGTACAAATATTTCAACGTTTTATTGATCAGGCCTATCTTTCGTCTTTGCTTACCTTGATGATATTTTGACTGCAAGTGCAAACGAAACCGAATACTTGGAACATCTAGTAATCTTATTTACACGTCTCACCAAGTAAGGAGTGCTTATCAATAGCAACAAATGTGTCGTTGGTTTGTTTTGATTGAACTTGCTTGGTCACATAATTGATAGCACTGGCATTTCGCCAACCGCAGAGTAACTTGATGTCATAAGTAACTTACCCGCAACCACTTCTGTGAAACAGTCTCCTTAGTGCATGTATGACTGGTGGTGGTTGCGCGGTAGCGAAGCGTCGGTACTGCGTACCGCTGCATACTACTGATGTCTATCATTCATCTGACACCCCATTGGTTGTATGGAATTTAGGACGCAGCTAGTGGTGGACCGCTATCCGGTCGGTGAATTAAAAGTACTCGCAATGAGCAATTCCGATGAGAAAGAGAAGCCACTTGTAGTACACGCCCAAAAGCAGGCGATGAGATATGTAACAATCAATTCGACGCGTCAGATAGGTGCACACAACCTAACTAACACACGGCAGATGGAGGTGTAATTCTTATCACTTGAAACCTATCCCCTTGAACAAAATAACCAGTATAAAGAAGATTATGGAACGTTAAACGAGAATATACCGATGATAAGCGAAGTCCAGGTATATAGATGGTACGGGTAAGACCCAAACGTGCACAGTGCAAGACGGTTTTATACATGTGAGGTAGGACACCTAAATGGGGAAGAACAACGAAGAAAAAGTCGGCGCTTGCAATTTAATTTTATTGCGAAAAGTAATATACACTCTCAGGAAGAACTGGTTGAGGATGGAGGGAAAAAAGGTGAGGTATTCACAAGAGGAGCAGCATGATTTGACTGGCAGAGCTTTCCTCGGTGGTAAAGCTTCAATTCATTCGAAAGGTTTGGTTTGCTGGCGGTTAGGTTTTAAAAGCTGGACCAGATGATAGCTCTATTGATGCGCTCACAAGAAACTATAGAACGGCCGCTCGGACTCCAATGACAACAGACAACAATGTTGCTGAAATAAAGGGGAATGAGCAGCAGGTAGTTGAAATGTATTGCAAAACTTGGTAAGAGAATATAAATGTGTATATAAGCCGTTGAGAATCAAAAATCAGAATTAATCGGGGGAATAGTTGGAGGTAGTGAACCGAACACCAAGCAATTAGCGTGCATAACTAAATTGAGTTATTCACCGAGTTGGGCAAGTAGACTCCAACAAACGTTACATCACCAGCTGAGGTGGTATCAACAGTGCAAGTGATTCGACGACTGGACTGCGGATGCCGATGGAAAGTCAACTCGGCAAAAGACGACGCCAACAACTATAATTGATTTCATGTGACCATGTTTTTGCATCCCTTTTAGCTGCTTGTATAAATTTTCATTACACTTTAGTTGGTTTGTTCTGCCTACCTGAATAATCTTCTATTAACTGGCCTCGTTGCTTGCGCTAATTGCGTTCATCATCGGTAACTTCGTTGCGTTTGTAGCGTTTTTAAGTAACTTGTAGACATTTCTTACTTATGGCGGATTTGTTACTAACCAACTTACTTCACATGCTAATTTAGCGAAGAGTTATGCCACCGTATCTGTATGCATTAATGGATTCATTTCATTTCATCTTTTCGTTTCAAGTGATGGCTGTTGCTTGATATCCCCGGTTCGGTTGCGCTTGATGTGCATGTTGACAAGGTGCCTACCTGTTTATTACCCACTACCTCGTCCATACTGGCTCCAGGAGACAGTTGCTCGTTGCTGGAGGGGACGGGGTGCACGGTCCTTGTGGCCGTGCTAGGCTCGAAGAGCGGTTCCATGCATTCAGTGTGGAGCGGACTACGGTCCAGCCACCGCCTTGTGTGCGCTTGATTCCCAAATACAGGGTGCTTGTGTTTGCCTGTGAAGGAGTGTGGGCCGGCTCCGCTAATGAAACGTGGCTCCTATCCACATGCCTCCCGGCCTTATTCCTTCGGGTTTATACTGGATATGGGGTGTGTGGTTGGAGTTGTGGGTGGTGCAGCGCAAGCCATTCATGGTCCCTCTGTAGGCGCAGGCGTCCTGTGGCTGGCCACAGTGACAGGCAAATCCGAAACCGGATGCCGCCAACCATAGTGGTTGAGGATTATGCATGAAATGACAATACCACTCCACAAGCTTCGTCTTCTGATATTCGTATTTGGAATTATAAGGGAAAATTCATGTTTCAAACTAAGCCGAGCTTCTTAAAGGCATATGATGTGAATAGTTTTAGTTCGTCATGACTTAGTGATGCCGTTGGTTGCAAAACTATTACGGAAACGATGGATCCCACAGATGCAGTAAGTGCAATGTTGGGTAAGCAATCGGAAAGCCAACCCGATCCACGGCTATTTCGAGTTATTATAGATTAACGACAGAGCATGTAATGTGGGGTGTCATATATAAATAAATAAATAAATAAATGATATATTTCTCGACATGCGAGACACAGGCAGACTACGAGCCTGATCATGTGGTACAACAAAGTCGGGTAGTGGAGAGGGATATTCAGTGATCTATTGTGTTCACATAGGAATGATTCAATGCTAAATCAATTAAAAATAGTAAAGGAGTAAGAGTAGTAGAAGTTGAGAGTAAGAATAAAAGTAGATATAAACTGTCAGTTTAATTGGAGTAATACGACCCATCATGAAACCGTCTCCCGGAGACCTGCTTCCACACTTCTCTTCCACATCTCATCTGGCCATGTGCTATTGTGGCGTTATATGTATACAGTTATGTGGGGGCCTGTGATATATATTAAGCTCTCCCCATCTTATAGCCATCTTTTATCTGATTTGTTTCCAGTACTGTGTTGTGGGGGCCTGTGTTCAATGAAAAGCTCTCCCCATCATACAGCTATCTTTTAGCTGATTCAATTCCAGCACTGTACTGTGGGGGCCTGTGTTTCATATTAAGCTCTCCCCATCGCACAGCCATCATTTGGCTGATTCGAATCAAGCACTTGTAATATGTGCCAGTGAGTTTGTGATGACTCATACTGCATGAGTGTATGGTATAGAGTGTATGGTATAGATGCGATGAATTCGTTGTTATTAGACATAGTCAGACGGTTGTCACACAACCGGAACAGCATTAGACAGAGGTTTAGCCGGAACCCAAACTATAATCTTACGCGGCTGTGATTAAGATCACTGGACTACGGGGAACGGAAATGATTGACATCAGGTCGCGCCAGGGTCTAGGGCGAGTCGGCAAACGTTTTTCTGACCACAGATGATGTACACACCAGGTTTACCCCGGTTTCCCTCTGCTTGTCCAATTCAGTCGGGAATTCCATCATGGAGTTCTCCCTTGCAGAATCTCACGATACAGCGATAAGCTGTTCCCCAGTGGATAATGAGTTGGCATTCCTTACGCGGATAACATTATCATGCTGCTTGACAGTGGCGAGGTAGCACAATCAACTTCTGATAAACTCTCCAGGGTAGTCCCATCATTTGGCATGCAGTTCACATTCTCAGGGTGCAAATATTGTTGCAGTACCATCAGCAACATGAGAACCCCTCGAACCCTGATAACGAAGAACTGAGAGCAGGTGAACAATTCACCTAACCCGAGTCACCACCAGTGGCGCAGTGGACACGTCGCGCTTGTAAACTACAGGCCACCTGTTCGATTCTGTGCATTTGCAGTCGCTCTCGCAGTATGCATAGCCCGCACGCGACTAGTGGTGGTCGTGTGGCAACGAAGCATTGACATGACATACTGGCGCACTGCTGAAATCTTTTTGTGCCACCTAACTTGGCGGTTGCACTAGCGTTGATTAGCGCGTGACCGCTGAAGTTAGTTAAAGTACCAAGAAAGCAAGAAGCGCCTTCTTGTACTCGCAACAAATGTTGCGTCAGTGGGAGATATTTTCAGATTTGTCAGAGCGTATGTACTAGGCCACACGGAGGGCTGTCCGACCCTACTGGAGTAAGACTTGGCCCTTTCTGTCTGAGGAGAGGAGACGTCTTTAAGTCTGTCTAAACATTGCTGGCGTCGGATGTCACCACGGTGTCCGCGAGAATGGCGGAGTATAAGTCGGGGACGGTCAGCCTCGTAGTTTAGAACAACAAACAATGTCGAATAAGTTGTGTACGCTTTGGTAAATAGTACGCAGGCCAGTTCACTGCTTCGTGAGAAGGGACTAGTATGTTCGCCGGAGGTGAAATGCGCAAGGCTCGAGATGGGGCAAAAGTTGATCCTGTAGCAACGAATGAAGCCACCAAAGCATAAACTGGGTGCGGATGGTCCATCTTGATTTATATAGCAAAGTTCACGCCAGTAACCTTGTGCCTGGCTCCCGATTTTACAGAGCATGACTTGCAGGCGGCTCCAATGGTGCGGCTACTGTTATCTTCCAGTCGGATCGCCTCTTTGAAGTGTTTTATAGCTAAGTTTTCTGCAGGGTAATGACTGGTTACGACAGGGGGCGTGACAGCCGCAAGGAAGGTCTCGCCAATACTGCAATATCTTCACACGATGGCCAACAGCGTGGGGTTCATGTGATGTTGAGGAGGTGCAGAAGCATCGCTCCCGAATGCCGAATTACGATAATCAGGTTTTGGGAATTCAAATCAGCTATGGGCATATTTCATGAACTAGGTTACACACTAGGCTCACTTATGTTCGGTCGGCTGTCCAGTGGCAAAAGGAGTCCGTCTTATAATCCGCAGACCATCGGTATGAGCCTGCGCAGATGCGTGTACCTCGTAGTACACTCAGCTCGCGCACTATCGTCAAAAAAGTGGTAGAATCGACTGACGATAAGCTCAAAGCATGGAACGTCTGAACAGTGCGCATTTAAACCCGGGTGAATCGGACAACGAATGCTACAGCAGAAAGTCAAATGTAATTGCCGGCATCCATTTCCGGATTTGCTTGTCATTGCGGCCTCCATAGGACAATCGCAAGACGTCTGAGTCTACAGAGGGACCATGGGGGGCTTGCGCTGCACCTCCCATACTCCAAGCACACAACCCATATCCAGTCTAAACCCGAAGACCTGGAGGCATGTGGATGGGCGTCACGTTTCATCAACGGATCCGGCCCACACGCCCTCAACATGCGCAACAGCATCATTCCTGTCTACCAATGTAGGGAATGATGCGTACCAGGCGTACAAAAGACGGTGGATAGATCGTAATTCACTCTACACTGTATGGAACCACTCTCTGAGCTTACTACGGTCACGAGGAACGTGCACCCCATCCCCTCCCCAGCAACGATTCAGTCTGCCGGAGTAAGCATAATCGTGGTGGAGGGTATATATATATATATATATATATATATATATATATATATATATATATATTCGCAAGGCCGTAAACCGACAAACATACCATTTGAACCATGGTGGTGTGGAAAGGAGAATACAGTGTTCAACAACGATAAAGAGTAAAAGGTTGGAAAAATTGGATTTGTTCAGTTTCATACATGCCGTTTTTAGTTTTTTTTGTTTTCGTGTTTTGTTCAAGATTAAAAATTACATGATGAAAAAAATGCTGGAACAGCATTAACGCCATCAACTCTTATTACGACCCATAGCTTTCAAGACTTCCAACCATTCGGAATCCGCTTCACGTGGTCCCCAGCCTGGGAATTTCACGGATCCAACTGATGCTAGACACGAAGTTAGAATCTTCATACTCCTTTTCCAGTCATCGGTTGTCCGCCGCGGCACTTTTTACATTCGCGTCCAGAAAGTGCAGATAATGCGCGATGTGGAAGGCGGTGGGCCGGCATGTGCAGTACGTGACCGAGCCAACGCAAGCGGTGCTGCATGATTATGCTCTGGAGACCAGGATTGTCAGCTCCTATGATTCTGCTTCCAACTTCCGCGTTGCTCACATGGTGCTGCCACCATACGCGAGCAATCGAACGCAAGCAGCGGTTGTCGAAAGTAGACAGTCGTCTCAAACCTTCTGATCGAAAAGGCCAGGTCTCGCAACCGTACAGTAGGACAGCACGGATTGTTGCATTGTATACTCAGCC